CTTTGTTTGATGTGAATAAACAAAGAAACTTCTTTTGTTGGGCTTGAGCAGATAACTTGGGCTGAACGCTTGCACATCCTTTTTATATAAAAAGCTTTCAAAGTATGGGTTGAAATAATAGAACTTAGACTTGGGAACCTGAAGCTGTACACTTATGTTGTGCTGTACAAGAAATTTTTTCTAATTGGTAGAAATTATTTTTGAAAAAAAAATTACAGAGTATATAAACCTTCGAGTAAGAAATGAACCTCCCAAAAATTTGTTTACCATGTTCCCATTTGCATACCGTGAAATGCAATGTACCAAACTCCTACATTTCTGTTAAATTAGCTGTACGGCCTGTACCTCATATATTATGAAGGGAAATTTTGTAACAACGGAACAATGATAGTTCGGGTTTATTGCGCTTAAGATTGAGATACTTCAAGAAATTTTAATGCCGTAGCTGGGTAAGATTGTTGGTGCCAGTTGCAGTGAAATTAGCTGGGCATGCTGAGCAAAGTTGTTTATATTTGGAAAAAACTGCATAGAAACCCACACAAGCTTGAGGACAAAATGCCATTAATGGGAAGCCGAGGGGGGGGGGGGGGGGGGGGAGGAGGCCAGAGGGGGTAGTAATGATACATGCAACAATTTTGGTGTCATTGAATTTTCTTTCTTATAGTGTTTTTCTTTGCTATATACTTATATATATATGTACAGGGTTAAGACTGCATACATCTGACCCCCTTACCTCACCGTAGGTGGGAGCCTTTGCGACACTTGGGTAATGATGATATATATATATATATATATATGTGTGTGTGTGTGTGTGTGTGTGTATTATATATTTGCGAGTAGATAAAAAAGAGTTGATACTTTTTCAAAACGATTCAGTCGAGTAAAGAAGAAAACTGTCAAACCCACCCATATAGAAGAAAGCCGTGGAGTAGAGAACCAAATAAAATGGCCGGGTGGAGTTGTAGAGAACAAATATCTAAAAGTCTAGAGCTTTAGCTGCATGAAGCTTTTTTAAGAATCTAAGCTAAAATCATTCTACAGATTATTTCATTAAAAGGTGTCTTATTGGTCAAAATATACTCCCTCCGTCCCATAAAACTTGGCCATATTGACTTTTCTTGGTCATTGATGGCCTAGTTTGACCCTTGATATTTTTTTATATGTAATTATTTCAAATATGAAAGTTATATGAAAATGTTCTTTGTCAAAAGTACTTTCATAAAAGTATAAAAGTTATAAGTTTCACACAAATATAATTACTAAATCATTATCCGAAGTTTATTACCATAGACTAAGAAAAGTCAAATTGGCCAAGTTTTGTGGGACGGAGGGAGTATAAAAGATCGCCAGTTTTTTCATGTGTCGTGGGTGTGTTTCCTTTCCAGATTATTAGAGGCATAGGCTTCATACGTCTCAAGGTGTAAGCCTCATCTGAGTGAGGCATAAGCTTCTCTGTAATGGGAGAAGTGGTCGTCTCTAGGTAAATTTCTAGCGCTTTGCGCCAGGCATAAGACTCAATAACTTGTGTGTTTGTATCTAGTAAACTTGTGTTTACTACTCCTGTCAAACTAAACTTTGCTAACTTTCCTTATTTTTATGCCTTAGAAATTTACTACCTTCCCTTTATAGTAACTAATATGGTGTTAATATTATTTCTCTCTTTTTTGTACAAACTTCAAACACACATTTTTCGTGTGCCGGTCAAAGTTGAAAATCTTTTAAAGACGGGGGAGTACCATATTTGACTTCGTACAGAGTTCAAGAAATGAAATTTTGTGGTTAAAAAATATTAAAAAGAAAAGAACTAATATGAATTACAATTCTTTCTTTAAAGGAAATGAAAAGATTACTCAGGGGCTTCATAAAAACAAAAGTGGGTACATAGATGAGTAGTATTTTCTTAATAATTTTGGAATAATTTCTTAACGGTAAAATCTGCTGCTGACATTATTGGTTGTCACAAGATAGATCATATTTGTCAAGAGAGAACAAGTATTATGTTGGTCAAAAAGTTGATATAGACATATAGTTTATCATGTTTTTTTGTGCATGCTACAAGGCTTGTAAATGTCAGGGAAAAGAGGTAGGGAGGGAGTGATCGCCACTCGCCAGTCCTTGAGATAGGATGCACAAGGAGTTGGTCATGCCAAGTATGTATTAAACATTCCCACTCTTGAAAAAGAGTAGGAATCTCGAGACTATAGATAGAGTCTGAAAGTTAAGAAGAGTTCATATGAGTTAGGGGTCAATACGTGTTTTTCATGCTGAGTTGCTGACAATGTGCACTTTCTTGCACATGAGCTAAGGACTTCATATTCCGCAGTTTAAGCTTAAAAGTGGCATTAGATTGATTGCGGGTGTCAGTCTGTCAGAGAGAACGTGCCATCGAGTGGGTCCTAAGACGCTTCTTGAGTTTTAGGTGGAACTTGGAAGGCACATGATTTAACTGTTCTGAAAAAGAAAAAGAGGAATCCTAAGGCTGTAGAGAAGTAGTTACAGAATTAAGGGCCTGTTCTTTTTGCCAATGTAACATGATAGCACATTTGAGATCTGGCTTGATATAGTTATTTGTGATTTGTTTAATTGCTTTTTGGTGAAGTCTTGACCGCTCTTTGTCTAAGTATCTTCTTTGAATGATATAATGATTATTATCTGATCTGGATGTTTCTGGTATGGTGATATGGTCCGAGTGGGTTTGATTCTTTCTTGTTTGATCTGAATCCTTTTGGTTTACTCTATATGATCTGGTTTAGTCAAATTAAAATAAGAAAATAATAAGAATAAAAATTCCACGAAGAGAACAATGAAGAGGAGCTTACCTCTGTTTGGTTGGTGGTAAAGGGAAGGAAGGGAAGATCATTAAGACGGGAGGGGAGGGAAAACCATTTAAATTTATACATTCCCTACAACTTTTTAATACCCAAACAAGTGGAAGGAAATCAAGGAATAAATATCCATCCCCTCCTCTCTCTTCCCTGACCAAATAATACCATTAATACGTGAAAGTTTTGAAAGGTTTTTTAATAGGGACCTAGACAGTTAGTAATAAGAATAATATTAAGTATTTGATATTGTACAAAACAGAGGGTTCTAGGCCCGGTAACTAAGTAGCTGTGGGCCAGCCCTTAAGGAGAGGAGTATAACAAGAGCGGGGAGAGGGTTAAAGGGAGTTAGGCTGAAATTCAGTTGGGATTGGGCTTGGGAGAGGAGACTGTTCGAAATTTCTCATTTGTATTGTTCCTTTTCAGTTTTCGACAATTTCAGTCTTAATATTCAACAATTTAGCGCCAGATTTAGGAGTCCCTATCATATTCTCCATATTAATAACGTGGACCATTTCCAGAAAGCCTATTTTCATGAATTTATTCTCATGTCAGTCATGTGTACTCTGCAATTAAATGCTTGCAATCTAAGGTAATGTTGAGATGTGTTTGTCCTTGTGATATTTTCAGAGACAACTATCAAATTATGGTGTTTGTCCTTGTGATATTATCCAGAATCAATACTCATTTGGTTATACTTCCTTGCAGTTGCAGGAATCTAGCCAAATTCCACTGGAATCCATACCTACCAGAATTTAGCAACTAAAAATTTGAATGAGATTTCATATTTACAATTAATAAAAGCCTGAAAATCGATTAAATTAAAATTATTTTGATAGTAACCTAAATTTCTCATTAGGCTAAATAATGTTTAGATAAAGTAAACTAACAAATTTTGAAAAAAAAATTATTCAAGTCCATTTTAAATTTCTGTAGCATCCGAAAAATTTATATGTAAATTAAAATTACAAAATAAAATCTGAAACCTGTTCAGATTTTGTAATTTATTCGTTAGCTATGATTTGAAAAAAGCTTATTTTTTCAATAAAATCTGAAATAAGAGTAAATGTAAAAAGTAAAAACAATTTAGTGTAAATGATCCAAACAGACATGGAGTAGAGTGGTTGTGAATGATATGACATTTCTTGAGTTGGATGGGAGTATGACTTTGGAGAGAGCAAAGTGGATGAAGGGTATATATGTGGAGGATTGATCTCTTTTTGTCCCTTTTAACTCTAATTCCATATGTTGATTCATGTTAGCCGCCCCCAAACACTTTTGGAACCAAGGCATGGATGTTGTTGTTGTATTCACCCTACTATATACTACCTCCGTTTCTAAAAGAAACTCACACTTTCCTTTTTGAGATGTTTCAAAAACAAAGTCACACTTCCCTTATTTCCTTATTTGGCAAAGAAATCTACATCCAAACAGTGCCAAACAGTGTCCAAACAGTGCCAAACAGTGTATTTTCTACAGTAAAGTCAATTTATTTCCTTAATAATCGTGAAGTCAAACCGTGACTTTCTTTTGGAAACGGAGGGAGTATATAATTGCAAAGCTTTTTAATTTTCAGTCGTTTTTAGTACGTTAAATAAGTATTTTAAATTTTTCGATTTATATCAATGCCTAGATCTGAATTTGATACTATTCAGATTGGTACTGTTTTAATATGCATTGAAAAAATACCATACTTTGGTTTCCAAAATTTTAAACTATATTTAGATATTTAGATGTTTAAAAAAATTAAGGTTTCCTTTCAATTGTTTTAGACTTGAGTTACATATTTTAGATTATTTGTTAAAGAAAAATATAATTCACATTCAGTATATCTGGGAATATTCCACTGGCTTTTGCTGATTCCGGCAAGTTTATGGAGTTATAGCAAAAAATGGGGACCAAATCCAAAAAAACATTTGAAATTACAGAATCAATTTCAAACAGTTGATAATTATGGAACAAAAACTAGAGAAGACCTTAGTTGTGGGACAGAAAACATTTAGGGCCTTATTGTTCCCTACATTCCCAATGGTAATTTTGACTCTTGGTGTTTTAATTCTACAAACCTGAGTATAGGAGTGACTGGATTTCATCATACTTGAATATCATAATATATTGGTGAATAAGGTGATAGCTGGTTTGGTGATGGTGCATGGTCTTATCCTATCGTTGTTGTAGGTGAAAGATGGGGGTTATGACACCAAGGTAAATGAAACAGTGAACGTGGTCACGGCAAAAACTACTGAGATTGGTCAAAGAACCTGGGGGATCATGAAAGGGGTACTCTCCTTGGCATCCCAGAAGGTTGAGGAATATACCAAGGAGGGAAACCCCAACTGGAAAAGCGACGGCTGGCAAAGAAATGAACACGAGAAGAGTGAAACTTACCACCAGGACTCTAAAGGTTGGAATTCCTCCTCAGCTGTTGTCCCCCCAGCTTCGTGGGATGATAACTGGGACAGCAAAGGCAGTAGTCGTAGCAGGAGAGAGGAGACTACAAAGGAAACAAGTGCTGCTGCTGCTGTTTATAGTGATGACTGGGCAGGCTGGGATGATGGTAAAGATGATGATGTTGCGCAGGATAGGTTTTACCAAAGTGCACCTGGGAATCAGCAGCATGCAGGGGGATATAGTGGTAAATCAGAAGGTAATTGGGGTGATGGAGGGTTCATCTGAACTCTCTCTGTACAAGTTTTCCCTTTCAAATTTAATCCCATCCACAAGTTTTTGTGCAAGGGTTTGCATTCTGGCTGGAGACTAAAATTGCTGCCAATGTGATGGACCAATTACTTCCTAGTTCGTCCCAGTTTGTTTGGTAAACAATGAGAAAAAGGCACATGATATTGATGATTGTATGTCTGTTTGGGAGGATCATTGTTCGTGCGAGGTGGGGTTTGGTTTCACTTTTTTTGCCTAAAAATCATATTTGGATGTCTTGTATGATAGTCCCTCCATTTTTTTTTATTATTGAATTTTTACTGTTGTTAATGTTACCGGCCTAAATGACTTGTGCTTTATTGCATGTAATTCATAATTGTGGCTTATAAAAGGGATACAGTTCTGAAACCAGACCGGATCTGGAAACGCTTTATGAAGACTTCAACAAGGATTAACATTTGACACTAGTGCAGTAGTGCTCTTTCCATTTTCACCAAGTTGCCAACGAGTCCAGTGGCTCGTGAGCTATATGTGAGATATTCATTTAAAATTCGATTTGAGTCCGGTCAAACTTGAACGCGAGCTGAAATCTAGTTGAATCCCACTTTTCATATATTTCCACAATTGGTAGCTTTTACTCTTCTATATTTCTTTGTCCTTCCTACTTTTTTCTACCTTCCCTTAATTTATTCACTATTTCTTTTAATTATTCATACCTTTTCTACTTTTTCTTCTCTTAATTTCTACCTTTTATCCTCTTTTGAACTTTAATGATTAATCCCTACAATTCCCTCTGTTCTAGAGTTGGACTCGGGCCGGGTGGCCCGACCCGGAACCGGCCCGGGACCGGTACTGTTCCGGTCCAGCCTGACCCGGTGGCTCGGTCAGTGACCGGTCCGGGTAGGCCCGACCTGTGGGGTTTCTGGTCCGGGCACGGGTCACCCAAAACAAGGCTCGACCCGACCGGGCCCGGTTTGGGCCAAAATTGATTTTTTTTTTTTCATTTTTTTTTCATTTTTCGGGTTGGGTTGGGTATTTTGGGCCATTTGGGGTGGTTTGGGGGGTTGGGGGTGGGAGGGGGGTTAATTAGGAAGAGGGAAAAAATTGATAATAGGCTCGGCCCGGACCCGGTGGGTACCCGGCCCGGTCTTGGGCCCATCTATTCAGAATCGGCGGCCTGGCCTGGTACTGTTACGAGGCGGTTCTCGGGTCTCCAAATCACGAACCGGCCTAGTCCGGGCCTCAACGGCCTAGTCCGGGTCTCAACGGTCATAATTTTAATTTTTTTTTAAAATTAAATCCAGGTAGCCAACTCCTCCTAGCCGTTGAGAATAAGGATGGACCTGGGCCGGTCCAGTTCCGGTTCCGGGCCGGGCTCAGGCGGACTTTTTTTCTCAGAACTTGGGCCCGGAACCGGCTCGGGTTGATACCAGGTCCGGGCCAAACCGGGCCGGGCCGGTTGGGACCGGTTCAATGTATAATATTTTTTTTGCTTTCTTATTATCCCCCGACCCCCCCCCCCCCCCCAAACCTCCCCAAAACACCCAGCCCTACCCAAGGAAAAGAAAAAAATTGAAAAAAAAGATCGGAACCGGCCCGGACCGGCCGGTCCGGTTCATGATAATCTGGGCCCGAGCCAAGCCCGCCCAAACCGGGCTAAATCCCGGAATCGGCCATCTGGGTCCGGTCCGAGCATGTACAGTAACCGGGTCGGTTCGGTTCTCGTCCGGTTCTGCCCGGTTGGCTCCATGCCTAGTTGGGAACACTCCCAAACGGCTCTATAGCCGTTGGAGGGCTGGGAGGGGGTCCAATGGGGTTTGTGACTTTTCTGATGCCCCTTACGTTAGTTATTTTTGTTCTTACATGAAAGAGAAATTTTTAAAATATTATTCGCATATTCCGCATATATATGGTATTGCATTTATTCTTGATCCACGTTTTTGACTTGATGCTTTGGGGCATTGTTTAGATTACTATTATGCTTCTTTGTTTTGGTCCATTTCCTATGTACGAGGATAAACACATAGACCCTAAACAAGAATTCCAAGAGGTTAGTAATTTATTATATCAATTATTTAATGAGTTTCATGAACAATGTGGTAACGCACCCCTCCCTCGACACAAACATATTCTTCATCTAAAAGAAAATCACTTTTTAAATATGCATTTGGCAATCTTATGAAAAAGTAAATCAACTTTCGTTAATGAACAAAGCTCGATTAACGAGCTTTCTTTGTATATAACATTTCTTGTTGATTATGAAGAAGGGGATGACTTTGACGTTCTAAAGTGGTGGATGGAAAAAGAAAGAATGTTCCCGATTTTATCAAAGATGACTAATCAAGTGCTAACAATACCGGTATCAACAGTTGCCGTGGAACAAGAATTTAGCGCGACCGGCAACGCGCTAACAGATTTGTTAGGAACATTTTATGGTGTTCAATCTAATTAAATATTTTTGTATTTGTGTAGTTATTAGTTAAACGTGTAATATGAGCCACAAATGTATATCAGCCCATTAGCTTCTTTGTAATCCATAAGTTAGCCAACTTCTCCTATAAAAGGAGGCTAACTTATGGAACCCTTAAGTATCGAAAAAGGTTTTCGAGGCTTGAGAGTTAGAGGCGAGATAGTGAGAGGGTTTGCTTTTGATCTCCTTCTCGAGGGAGAGCAGCGGTCATGTTCACGGTATACCAGGTTTGGTTTAATCTCGATATCTTTCTATCTACTTCTTCTTTATCTGCTATGGTTGTTTGATTGTTACAGAATCGGGATTATCAGGATTATAGAATGAGATTGAGTGCGAACTCTCTTGAGACGCTTGTTTGCTTCCACGATTGGTTGAAGGCGAAACGTAGAACTCAAGAAGTGTGCATCGCCCCCACCCGCCACTTTATGGAGGAAACAACCAAAGATGGCAGAGATTTTGATTGATTATTATTAATTAGAAAATGTATTTTGTGTTTTAAATTTTTCTCAATTCTCAATTGTACTACATATTTCAAATAAATATACTTTAACTTTTTTATATCCAACAATTCTTGAATTAATTTGTAAAAAAATTACCCGAGTCGGCCCGACCCGGCCCGGCCGCTACCCGACCCGCTACCCGACCCGAACTGGACCCGGTAGGCACCCGGGCTGGTTCTGGGTCGCAATTTCCGAGACCCGGTCCGGACCGACCCGAGTCCATCCCTAGGAAGAAGGAGAAGACTGGCGTGATGATGCTTGCGTGCTCAATCATAGGATGCTTAAATCACTCCTTTCTTTTATTATTGGATTTCTGTTTTTTAATGAAAATACATTCACCCTCTATAATGTATCTCAACAGCTCTACATATACGGAGCTATCTAACAGGCCAATAGAGGACCTAGAGTGCAATATCTCTGCTCCCAGGCTCGAACAGTTCTTAGGTCATAAATGTGCTTCTTTCCTCGTTTGGTCGAATGATATGGAACATTAGTTTTTAGATAGGTGTTTAGAATTAGATGTCATAGAAGTTACTAGAGAGAAACATTGTTGCACTTGAAGGAGAAAAACAAATCATTATTTAAAACTCAAGACTAACAAAATATCATTTTGATTTTGAGTACTCTCTAAATAGAACATCTTAAATGGCCTATGTTCCCCAAATTATAAGGTACACCTAGGTGTACCTATACACTCGATATTTTGTACCTAACAAAATATCATTTTGATTTTGAGTCTTCTTTTTCGTTCCATATCGGTTTGCACTAGGGGTGGATTCGGTTCGGGCCACCCGGTCCGTGACCCGGCCTGGTCTGGCGGTCCGGGATCGGGTGTAGACCCGAACCGGGGGGGGGGGGGGGGGGGGGGAAGGGCGGGGCGGGCTCGGTTCCGGCAAAAGGTGACCTGGCCCGGCCGGGTCGGGCACGGGTCCAGGTCCAACGGTCATAATTTAAAAAAAATTGTTTTGGGCCACAAATAGCCGTTGGGGTGGGCTGGGGACTACCCAAACGACTATATAACCGTTGGGTGGCCTGGCAGGGGGGTCCGGGCGGTTTGGGGGAATGGGGGTGGGGGGGTGGGGTAAAAAAAACTATAAATACTCCTAATCTTAAACATTTTTCCATCTCTTCCTAAATCCTACACTCTACTCTCTAATTATTATCTTGATATTCATCTTCTCAAATTCTCTTATTCTCCAATATATTATGTATCTACTTATATTATTTATCTACTTATAAATACATATATTTATATTACTTATATTTCTTATCTACTTATATATTAATTATCTACTTATAAATACATATATTATATTAGTTATATTACATTTTAAGATGGAAGGTGGTAGATATTCGGTTGATATGGGTAACCTCGACCGCAACCGAACGAACGAGCTTGCGAGGAAGAGATCCCGCAAAGGTAAATCACATATCGGCTCTTCATCTCAAAGCCGAGATGATTTTGATACGGGTTATGCAAGGAGGGACGGGGATGCGATGAACGACGAACAACTAGAACAAGAATTGCACCGACATAATAGCCGCTTTTTCCAAGACCAGCCGAGGACCATTGACGAAGAAGAGCTCGAGGATGACGATGTGGAGAAAGTAATTCCGGAGAGCCACGACACCGACGCGGAGGAGGGTGGTGGCAGCCATGACCCCGACGCGCCTGCCTCATCCCAAACCGGTACGGAAAAAAAGTAAATCTGAACTAATGCTTAATAATTTTGATAAGTGGAAGGACCCGAACACCGGGAATTTGAACGCAACTTGCAGGTGGTGAAAGAAAAATTATAGCTTGGGGATTTCCGGCGGATACGGATCCGCCACAAGGCATCTTAAGACAAAACACCCGGTGGAGTATGCAAAATTAGGCGGCGGAACGGGGAAGCAAACTCAAATATCGAGATTTGCAAATAACCAACAAGCTTTTGGTAATTTCTCATACAATGATGCACAAAATTTAACTGGTATGGCTAACTTACTTGTTGAAGAAAATTTGCCTTATTTATTTTCTGAAAGTCTTGCTTTTCGTGATTATGCACAAACTTATTTAAATCCTCAATATAGAGGTTATAGTCGCAAAACGGTTAAGAAAGAAATTTCAAGGCTTTATGGTGCGGAAAAGGTAAGGTCACAAAATTATTTTGCAAATTTTGATGGACGTGTTACTGTATGTTCTGACATATGGGAGGATACTTATCATAATTTACATTATTTGGGTCTGACTGTACATTATATTGATAATGATTGGAATATGCATAAACGTGTTCTTACTTTTCGTGAATTTAATGATCGTCACACCGCTGAACATATTTATATTTTGATTGAACGAATTTTAATTGAGTATAATTTAATTGATAAGGTGTTTGCTATTGGTTTTGATAATGCTACTAATAATACTGCTGCTATTCCTAGATTGCGTGAATTGTGTGGTTCTACTTCTTTGATGGGTAGATTTTTTCATCAACGATGTGCATGTCATGTTATAAAT